ATTTTCTTTTCTTTCTGCAAGTTGGTTTTCCATTGGAGCAACTTGCCGAGTCCTTTCACCGTGTTGCCGCACAGCCTCTGTGTCTGATGTGAGGCAAGTGGTAGGAGTGCGTGACCAGGGATGGAGGGAAGAGCAGGATGACTCTTTTTGAGAGCAGCCCACGGGATCAGCTGTCATATAAAAGGACAGCCCGTGGGTAGGCCCTCACAGGTGTGGTTCTGTAGCAACACAACTTGCCTCAGATTTGACTGAGGCCAAGGCTCCTCTGGACCTCCCGAGTGCCTGTACCTGCTCCCACGCTGTAAAACCAAGCGAGGGGAAGCTCCAAGGAGTCTGTCAGCTCCCTGAACTGGCTGGCTGAGGGGTCACAAACACCAGCGTCCCAACAAGAGAAGAGATGGGCCGGTGGCAATCTAGATTTATATTGCTTTAGGTTGTTGCAGAGTTACGCTAATTCAGTCTTTCATTCTCATAGCTGCCAAAACTGGGGAATCTCATTCTTGAGATACTCGTAGAAATTTCCAGGGAAGGTTGCTGCTGCTATCCCATTGCTTCTGTCCAAGCAGCAACTCACATTGCTGCTGGGGATTAAAAAAAAATTTAAAAAAAAAAAAAAAGAAAAAAGAAAAGGGGCAAGTATCCAAATAGACTCATCACGGCATGACAGTGAGGAAAGACAAGGAGGGACACAGAAGGGGAAGAGTGTTTCTCAAGAAAAAAAAAAAAAAGATATTATGGGAAAAAAATAAAGCTCCACCATAAAAGCAAAGGCAGGCCAAACACAACCCCACCGCCCTGCAAAATGAGCCGGCTAAGTTCTACTCACCATTGAAAGGGTTAATCTTCTTCAAGATTCGTGAAGAAATTGATTCCTTCAGGTCTTTCTTCTTCACACACTGAATGCCCAAATTCTGAAAACTGAAGCACATGTGGCAGGGTTTCAGCAACTAATAAAATCTTCAGCGTAGAATATTAAATCAATTATTTGATGTTGACTAGTGTGATAACATACAATGTATGAAATGAAAAAAAAAAAAGCAAGCTTATTTTGAGAAGGATGTAAAAGATCTGAAAAGCAAGGATGCAGTTTTTTCCAAAATAAGAGCAGAAACAGAAGTGAAAAATACTAAAATAAAATCCCAAAGAATTTACATTCTTTATTAAGAATATATATTTCTATATTAAAAATGGTTAGGCTGCAGTAAACCTATAGTGATTAAAAGTTAAACCCTCAATTGCAGGTAATTTAAAGTGACAATTATTTTTGTTATCAATAAACCTGCTGATATGCATTAGTGAAGGATTTGCCCTCCTGCTTTTATCAGGGAATGTGAATTTCAAACGCTATTTTAAAGGTTTTCTGAAGCAAGTCAAAACAGGTTTTTAAATCTCATGTAGTTATGGAAAAGTTCTGAAGAGCTGCAGCTCTTCCTTATTTGCATAAGAGCACAGGTCACCCCAACGCAGGAGGTGGGGGGAGTCC